GCATGCGGGACGACACGGAAGGTCTGCAGAGGAAACAGGGCCGAGCTTCACAGCGCCTACTTTAGATGGCTCTCAGCACACAGGCGCGGGAAAGCATGTCGTGTTCTGCAACTGAAGGGCGGGGTAACGGACGCTCTTTGCTTCAGACTCTTTCCAACTTTCTACCACTGTGACTGGGGGAAGCCCCTGCCGGCTGAGAAAGATGTAGCCCTGAGAAACCAGAAAGCCTGGGATCGAGGGCTCCTCTTCCATACTCAGTCCTAGTCCTTTAGTCAAGTCACCGTTTTAGGCTTCAGCCTGGCACTTGTCTAAGGTGGATGGGAAGCCCTGGCTAGACAACGAAATTAGAGCTCTCCTGGCTGAAATCAGGGATAGGGCACCCAGCCACAATTAGGGATTCACAAAACCACAAATGGACTATAACGTTTGTTCCCTCTTGCCCAGTAATTCCACCATCGAACATCAATGCTAAATCGTAATTTAAACTGAAACCTCAAGTTTGCGTTGGGTGGTTCATTTCCTGGCGTCATGCCGCCACCTTGTGGCTTAAAGGGGGGAAACCGTGGGAGGCACTGCAGAGGGAAAGAGCAGAGCCCTGTAGTCCGGAGAGGGTCTGAGTGGAGGACTAAAGGCTAAGTAGTTTGGCCTCACTGCTAGCCTTGATAAATACTCGTCCCGTGCCCTTTTCCAAAGCACAGGACATGCCCGTTGAAAAGAATAAAGATGACTCAGCCAGGAGCAGTCAGTTAAGCCTAGTACACACAGTACCTGTGCTGAAGGATTGGGAAATAAAGCTAGGAAAAAATGACCCAGGGGCCACGGTAAGAACCCCAGGGGTCTGCGCCTGGAAACACGGGCCGCTGCAGCCAGGCAGACACGGGAGGGCCGGTTGGAAGGCAACGCCATGTGAATGAGGAGATGGCCGAGCGAAATGTAAGGGCTAGGGACTGACTGGATGGAGGGGATGAAGCAAGGAAAGAAGCCAAGGATGACTCACAAAAGAGCATGAGATCTCAGTCTCCCCCGGGGACGTTCTCGATGGTGACATAGCCATGACTGTCCTTTCACTTGGGCTTTCCCTTTCCCCTCCTTCCCATTTCTCTCTTCGATTTCCAGTTCCCTAAAAGCTTCCTTTTCCCTTCCTACTCCTAAATCACCCACTCTACCTCCTTTCTCCCCTCCCCAGCTGCTGTCTCAGCTGCCGCCCCTGCCCTAACATTAGAGAAGGTGGTACCTCAGTTTAGAGATGAAGAAATTAACCCCATCGCCACTACTTACCAGCCAAGTGACCGTGGACAGGACACTAAACTTTTCTCTAAAGTTCTCTGGAAAAAGGGAGTAAGTCTACTGCAGAGGGGTGTTCTGAGATTCAGCTGGAGCCCATAGCACTTCCTTGAATACCGGACCGCAGCGTGTGCTGCAGCTGCTACAGATGGGCTTCAGTGACTGGCCCCAGGTCACTAGCAACTTCTGAGTTAGCAGCAGGCAAGCTAGTGGTGTGCAGCCCAGAACTCCTGGTTAGTAACTGTGGCTCATTTCTTCTCCTTGCTGTCTTCCTACGTGCCCAGCTAGCTCTGTCCAATAGCACTTAGTCTATGCGACATTGAACAAGACTGACCCCAAGACTCAGGGACTTTTGCCATGACCGATGGAGGTCTTTAGAAAAATCCAGTAACTTCTCTAAGAACAGATTCTAAACTCAATTTTTCCTTGATTTTTAACCAGTTGTTCGCACACACACACACGCACGCGCGCACACACACACACGAGGCTTTGCAAAGGATACGCTGTAGAACATGAGGCTAATCGCATCTATTTGACTTTGCCGTCCTCCATAGTGACTGCCCTCTGCACATTAGCGGACCAGCCAGGCATCCCAAGGTTGAAAGCACTCATTGCACTGCTATGAAATCGTCACTGAGCCCCAGGACCAAGCTGTCCTTGCACTAGACAAGCTTCCAGCTATCAAAGCCAGAGAATGTTACGCCTAGCTGTACTCAACTTCTATTTGTAGAAGAATCATGAAATTCACTCTGCTGGCAGCTAGGAGGTTTCAACCCTTGTGCAAAACACATTGGTAGAAAAGGCTAGGAAATACATACAAAGCTTTTCCCAGAAATTATTACAAAATTGCATCATTTTCAAATATGTATTTTGAAAAATAGCCTACTAATCCAATATGACAGAAAGATGTCTTGAGTATCCCAGAGGTGACAGAAACATACTTAGTAAAATCCGTTCCCTTTGCCAAGCTCATAAACCCTCTGATCAAAGTGCTAGCAAGGTAGTGGGAGAGACGTAATAAAAAATACTAAGAAATAGTTTACTATCTCCTTCAACCTAGCACGCCAACGTTATTTAACTAGATAAACAACCCAGGAATGAGAAATCAAAGAGAGCATTCTATTAGTGCCCTGGAACATTCTGAAAGCAGCATGTTTTCACCCATTTTAGAGCGTTATGTAACAGCTTTCCCTCAAGGCATGTAGCAATCCCTCTAGAGACTTCAAACTCTTTCTTAGAGGGATTTGCATGGCATCTTTTTAAGAACCTCAGGGCACTAAAGACACACACTTTCTGGGTGACATTGTGCTTACTCTGTTTTCCAAAGGGGAGGAAAAATCAGGCACTAGCCAATTCTGGAGCAATAGACCAGGTCCCTCCTGACCCGGTGCAGTGAGGTACACACATTTGCCTATGTGGCTTTGCTGTGAAAAACATTTAGTCCGAGTCTGATCACGAGAAAACAGCTGAATCTAGGTTGTCGGACTTTCTAAAACACAACTGGTCTACATTTGGGAAAATATCCGTCTTTACAAAGAGCAACAGAGAGGTAGGGACTATTCTAGGTTAAAGTGACTAAGGAAAAATGTGAAAAGGAGGCTAAATAGACATGATGACTAAACACATGCTTTTAAACTAGATTCTGCATTAGGAAAAAAAAAATGCCCTAAAGCACATTTCTGGGGCAACTGGGAGAAATTAGAATATGGTCTAAATATTAGGTCACAATCTTTGGACATGAGAACGGTGCACTTGTTCATACAGAGTAATGCCCTTGTTTTTAGAAAATAAGTGCCTAGATTTTGAAGGCAAAAGGATAACGAAGCCTGCTACTTATGTTCAAATGGTGTAGTAAAAAGCGTCAGAGACCAAGTACGTCAAAATAATAATGGGAGAATATGAGGAAAGGTTCCATTTAGTACTCATTCAGCATTTCTTATTCCCTGAAGATCCAATGGGTTTAGAATTCCTGAAAGTAAAAAGTGGGGGTGGGGGGCAGCCGCAGAAGTGTGTCCGGTAGGTGCTGCTGCTCAGGAAGCGGAGGCCACACGGGGTGGGAAAAGGGGGTGCGGGTTTGATTCCAGACCCACCCTAAAAGTGGTCACGCCAGTGTGTGCCGACAGTCCCAGTGACACGGAGGCTGAGGCAGGAGGGTCAGGAGTTACAGCCAGCGTGGGCCATGTCTGAGAGAACAAGCTTGCTGGTGCAGGCCTGCGGTCCCAGCTCCTCGGGACACAGAGGTAGGAGGATGATTGTGACATACAAGATATTGTCTTGCATTTAAAAAAAAAAAAAAGTTGGGAAAGTTGAGGCAGCAGACAAAGGACAGTGGACGAGCTCACAGAGAATGAAGGTATACTCTCATTGTCAGAGTCCTGCCTGAGAGACCAACTGCTAGCCCAGCATTCGTGAGTCAAAGATTTTGAGATAATTTTCCTAATAGAAGTGAGCACTTTATTTCTGGGTAAGTGTAAGAATAACTGCTTAGAAAAAGAAGCTTGATAGGCTAAATCTCACAAGACAAAATTTTAGTTGTCTACTAAAAGGATTCTACTCCATACGATCCTTATCAGCATGTGTCTTCCTATGGAGAGTCACAGAGTATCAGTTGCTGGAAGGCAAAATTCATGATCATATTTACACATTTACCTGGACAGTGTTCAACAAAGCAGCACATGTAAAGACATACTCTTAATAAAGTGTTTGGTAAGCCTGTTGGAGTATTAGCTGTAATACACACTTCTTAATCTGCTCTCCCAATCCTAGACCCCTAACCACCACCATACTCACCTTCAGGTAAGGAAGCAAAAGCTTGTCTCCGTATTCTTTACAATGTAGAATCAGGTGAAAAGTGGGTAGGCTAAAAATGAGTATGACCACTTACTTACCTTGGTTCCAGTTTTAGACATTTTTGGTGCATAGGTTGGTTTTCCCAGTGCTGAAAGAAATCCAGGAATAGCTACAGAGAGTTAGAGGCACAGAGACATTTATACTGGGCTGGTTTCAAATCAAACATTTGCTTGGTCATGAGAATAGGATCCAAAAATTGAGTCAGTCATTTAGAGGCTATTGATGGTTTCTAGAAAAACAATTGGGATTATGAAATAAAGGAAAGCTTCAGTGCCCTCTTTAATGCTTACCAAGCCCTGCTGCATTATCAACTTTGCTGAGTCAAGACACCAAAACCCAGCCAAAGTTTTAAAAATTAAAAACAAATTCCCTGAGCAATTTGGTTTTTCAGCAAGCAGTCTCTTTGAAATTCCTAATGTCTTTTTTTCTTTTTCAACAAAGCTTGCAGGAAATCAGTCAAAAGACTATCCTGCATTTCTGGACAGTAGTGACATGTTCCAGAGGGAACAAAACTTACTTGACAACTAGAAGCAATGCATGATCTTGGGTTTTGGGTGGAAAATAAGTCACTATAAAGGACATTTTTGAGGCAATGAGAAAAAATTCTAGTAGAGACTGTATATTAGATAATACTATTATACAGGTTAGAGAATGTCTTTGTTCTCAAGAGATATATGCTAACGTATTTCAGTCCAAGATATCTGCAAACTCCTCTCAAACTGTTGAGCAAAAATAAAGTAAAATACAATACAGGGGCCAGTATAGTGAACACAGCAAAATGTTAACAATTTGTGACTCTGATTAAAATGTGAGATCTGATTATGTAGATCCATTCTGCAACTGTTCTTTAAGCTCAGAAGTTTAAAAAAAAAATTTGCTTTAAAGAGTTCTAATCCACAAGTATGTAAAGAGACAGAAAGCTACTGAGAGACTTCTGACTTTGCAAAGATTAAGGTAAGCCCAACTTGCCACCTTTTAGGTGGGATTTTTCTACTCATGATAGTATCCTGGGACCAGTTCAGAGGATATTTTTGGCCCTTAAAATACCTCTAATTTTAAAAATGACATTCATCTTAAATAAACTCAAAGTAACAACAAATCAATTCTTCTCCATTTTAATTTTCCCTGTCAAGTAAATTCTTTAGTAGTCTGACTTCCTCATCTGTCTAACAAAGTTATACAATAAATAATTTCATAAATGAGATACCCACAAGATTCAACTCATGGGGCCAGCAGGTGGTATGATGATTAAGGGCACAGGACTCCCACATGGCCAAAAGCGGTTCAATTCCCGGACCTGGTGGCTTGCTTTTTCACTTTGCCTCTTTCTTGCTCTGTCCTTCTCTCTGGTCAAATTTAAAAATAAGGGGGGACCAGCAGTTAGCGTAATGGCTATGTCTCTGGACTCCCATGTAGTCGACCGCGGTTCGTGTCCTGGACCCGGTGGCTTAAAACTCACGCCGGGCGCGTGTGCGTGTGTGCCCAAGATCCCGAGAGGAGAAAGGACGAGAAGGGATTGCGGTGTGGCCATCCCCCCCGGGGGTGATTTCTCACTTTCTGTCTCTTTGTCTCTCTCTGTCTGGCTGGCAAACGCCACTCCCTATAGCAAAAACCTCTCAAAAAAATTTTTTTTTAAAAATAAGTAAATAAATAATAAGGCTAAATAAAATAATTCTTAAAAAAAAAGATTCAACTCAGAAAATGGCAAGTGTGCTCTGATGTGAAGATTACTGAGAAAGTACTAAGTTATATGCTTAGCTTTCTGAATTTTATAAACCTTAAACGTTTATAAGCCATTAATTTAATTAACAAGTAGCAATTTCCAGAACACACTTCTAATACTCCAATGTCTCTTTATTTGGTAATGTTCTGTTTGCATAAATTTCATCTTAAATAAGAAATCAGAAAACTTCAATCAGAACTAGCAAATACACCCTAGAAATATAAGAGTAAACCCTTTTTAGATACTAATTAAATGGCCAGAAAGTTGGGACCAGTAGTTGGCATAATGGCTATGTCTCTGGAATTCCACGTAGTCGACTGTGGTTCGAGTCCCGGCCTCAGTGGCTTGAACTCGTGCCGGGTGCGTGTGTGTGTGTGTCCAAGATTCTGAAAGAATGGAGAAGGGATTGTGGACTGGCCATCCCTCCTGGGGGGTGATTTCTTGCTTTCTGTTTCTCTGTCTCTCTCTGTCTTTCTGGGGAGCACACGTGCCCTAAGGCAAAAACCTCTCAAAAAAAATAAAAAATTTAAAAAGGCCAGAAAGCATATAAAACAATGTTGAACGATGATAAAATTCATTTTTCTAATTTGGTCATTGCTTTTTATTATCTTTAAGAGCAGGACTTTTCACAACTAAACATCAACTTTACTTCAATCTAATGTCACAGAATGACATTGGAAATATTTTCTAACACTAAAAGTAAAGCTTTGTCTTTTTCATCAAAAGAAGAAAATTACTTCTTAGAGTATCTTTATTGAAAGTTTAAAGCAGGAAATAGAAAATAAAGATTTTTTACACAATTTCATTAAGTTTTATACTTTAAGGACTAAAATATCTTTGTAGAAAACTATTTCTGCTATATTTATACATCAACAAATCATATTCTCATTCCAATTATTTTTTAAGGAGCAATAATTTCCTTGTAAACAGTTATAAAGAACTATAAAACTCTAACTCTAGAAAGTGTGGAACCCTTTCACTACACAATTAAAATTGTAATTATACTTGCAAATCTACAATCACTTTAAAAAATTAACTTGCACACAGCAGGACTGCCTTCACCAGCTGTTTCATTTTGGCATCATACAGATAAGCCCTCTGCTGTTTTACGAACGTGTTTAAATGGAGGTCACACATTGAGCTAAAATTCAATCTAAACAGTAATAAATGAGCATGGCATGGAGATCAGGGAAGTCGTAAATAGGAAGAGACGGCCCCAAGTCTCCGAAGCAGCAAGAGGGCTTTCCCAATTTAGTTTCAAGATGGGCACCAGCCTCCTCCAGCCTCATGTTTCCAGGGCCCTGAGGACGAAAGAAAGCAACCAGTATTAATGACTTCATTTTCTATCGCCTTCATGCAAATAATAAGGAAAAAAATCCTTGCATTTACAGAATCATTTAAAGTATCAAATTAGGGTGAGGGAATGGATAAACCGTAAAGCTAGTTACAGCCTACATTCTAAGTATCAGAGTTCGTAACAGAAGGAATTCATGTATTGACATAAAGTTGGCAGACTCGGGATTGGTTTAAACTAAAATATTTACTCTGTTAGAGTGTTCATTTCCTCTGCATTATCTTTATCAGATTTTCTCTTTTTTTGTAGTTTTTGCAATACAGTGTGTGCAGTAGCCAGAGAGAGAGAAAGCTCCCCTTCTCCCCCAAGAGTGAATGGCCATGCCACAATCTGTTCTCCAATCCCCTCTCTGGACATTGGGCACACATGCACCAGAGCTTGGCATGATTTTCAAGATGCTGGGTCTGGGACTCGAACCAGTCATGTGGGAGTCCAGCACCTTAACCACTATGTCACCTGCTGACCCCATCTCCATCAGATTTCTGATTCTCAATCTCAGCATTTACTACCATAAAAAAAAAAAATCTTTATTTAAATGTAAACAATACAGAAGTCAAACAATAAAGAATACATTTTTGCAGCTTTAGAAAACTGCAGTTCCCACTCCTAGGTATGTACAAACCCTTAGAAATAAAATTTTGTACACATACGTACATAGTACATACATAGTGGCATTATTCACAACAGCCAAAATGTGGAAACAACCCAAAATATCCATCAACTGATGAAGAGATAGATAAAATGGAAAATCCATATAATACAGTATTATCTGGCCATTAAAAGGAGCCAAGTATTAATACATGGATGAAACTTCAAATATGCTAAGGGAAAGAAGCCAGACATGAAAGGTCACGGGTTGTATGATTCTATTTAGATAGAATGCCCAGAGCAGACTAAGTAGATTAAGAGTTGCCAGAACCAGGAGGGGAGAGGGAACGCAGGGAGCTGGACAAATGGAGACTGCCGGCCAACACGAACGGGCTTCATTTTCAAGGTGATGAATGCTCTGGACTTGTCAGTGGCGATGATAGCATAAACTTGTGAATATACCTAAAAGCCACTAAATTCTTCCATTTAAAAAGGTAAGATTTGGGACCAGCAGGTGGCGTGGTGGTTAAGGCACTGGACACTCCCACATGGGCGACCACGGTTCGAGTCCTGGACCTGGTGGCTTCCTTTCTCACTTTCCCTCTCTCTTTTTCCTCCTCTGTGTCTCTGGTCAAATTAAAATAAATGAGTGAATAAATAAAATTAAATAAAAAAAGAAAAAAAGATTTTTTCTTTCACCTGGATACCTAGTCTTATTCCTTAAGGACAAGCACTATTGGTAATTTCTTTACATATCCTTTTAGAGAAAGTTTAGGCACATAACTAGCATATAAATATATGTGATAATCTCTTCCTTTTTTCAAAACCACAAGACAACATTATCTTTTTCTCCCGAGCTAAGATCATTATCAGCACATACAGATGTACTTCTTTCTTTTTAAAGATGCATTCCACGAGATAGATGAGTCAGTTCCTTAGGCACCAGCCCTCTATGGAGACGCATTTGAGTTGTTTCCAGTTTATAGCTATTTCAGACAATGCTACAATGAACATCTTTTTCAAATAGATCTTTATAGGTTACGAAATCTCAGTTAGCTAAACGGAATAATTTCAAGAGGTCTATTGTGGACATGATGACTATAATAATAATATAGAAATACGAAGATATATTTGGGGCCAGCTCTATGGTGCAGAAATAGTGATTCAAATACCCGGCCTGGTGAATCTGGAACATGCCAGGCAGGTATGCGTGTGCCTAATTTCTGAAGGGCTAGAGAACTGGTGGAAGGAGACTGCAGCGTGGTCAGATGCTATGGCTGGTCCTCATCTCTCTCTCTCTCTCTTCCTGTCACTCTCATGTGTGTATGAACACACTCTATCATAAATAAAAATATTTTAAACAGACTTTTAAGTGTTCTCACCACAAAAATGACAACTGCATAAGGTAATACATCTGCTAATTAGCTTGATTTAGAAAGTCCCAAATGTGTATATATTTCAGAAGACCATGTTGTATACAATGAACATACAATTAAGTTGTTTTTATTGCCAGAGGGCATGTGCACTTGTGAGAGAGAGAGAAAAAATACCCTCATTGGTGTGTGGTCTTTTTTTTTTTTTTTTTTTTGGAGAGATTTTCACTGTAGGGCGCGTGCGCTCGCCAGACAGACAGAGAGACATAGAGACAGAAAGCGAGAAATCACCCCCCAGGGGGGATGGTCACGCCGCAATCCCTTCTCCTCCATTCTCCTCTCGGGATCTTGGGCACGCACGCACACGTGCCCGGCGTGAGTTTTAAGCCACCGGGTCCGGGACACGAACCGCGGTCGACTACGTGGGAGTCCAGCGACATAGCCATTACGCTAACTGCTGGTTCCCATTGGTGTGTGGTCTTGATGAAATCTTTTCTCCTCCATTTTTCCATCCCATCAGGATTTGGGGTACTCATGCACATGTGCCCTGTGTGGTTTTCCAGCCACTAGAGCTGGGATTTGAACCACAGTTGGCCATGTGGGATCTGGCTCCCTTAATGAGTGCTTTAACTACAAATAAAATTACATTAAAATTAAATAGATCTTACACATATAAGATATATTCTAAGTCAAATTGCTAAGTCAAAGAATATTTATATTTTTCATTTTGATTTTTTGTCCAAACTGCCTTTGAAAGAAGTTACATACTTTCCCTGGTGGTAAAGAAATGTCTTGCCAGTGTTACGTACCACCAACACTGATCCTTGCCACTCTGATAGGTAAAAAATGGTTTCACCTATCAAAAATTTCTTTAAGTATCTTAGTGTCTTTAAATATTTTTTTTCTATTGTTGTACTTAAGGATACTTTGAAATGATCAACTAAACTCATTTTTATTTAAAAAAGCATATATTTGACTTAATAACTTTGAATAAATTTATCTGTATCTATATTCTCTATTTAATATATAATTTTTCAGAGTTCAGTAATCTAAACTTCAGTTGGACTGATTCTGATAATTGATTACCAATTGTATGTGCAATTAACAAAAATCAGCTAACTTATTAATTGGTTTGGAGGAGGGCACAGGAAAGAGAAAAGATGTATAAGAAAGATGGAAAAAACTTAAACCCAAGTACAGGAGAAATGTATCTTTGAACAGTATAATTTGTGTCAACCAAAAAAGACCAAACTTGGTCATTGCATTTGCCCAAAATAATAAAGACTTCACCTGGACATTCCAGTAGGTCTTCTTACTATAAAACACAGCCTGTATACACGGATATGTAAGGGTCTGCGTATGCTGGTGGGAGTTGTGAAAAACATTCGGCAATGGTTAGTAACATAATATTCGGTGCAATTTTTTTTTTTTTCATGGTTGGCAGATTTTCCCAAAAGGATTTGTTTCAAGTGGTCTAAACCATAAACACCTACCGGGCTGATGTAGGCCCTATCCTGCTGCTTGTTTGGAGCCCACGGCAGGAGGTACCAGGCTGTCCAGTTGCTGGCGATGCCCTGTATTAATCAACCATTCATAAAACTTGTTCTCCACAAGTACCTGGAACTGCTTTCTTTGATCCCTAGAATTGCAATAAAAAGCAAAAAAAAAAGTAAGAACACTGATTCACAGAAATTTTACTCCAATTGATTAGACAAGACTTCAACGAAATAATTTTAAATGACTCATTATTTCTAGTAATCCTTTAATTCTCCCTCTGCTCAAAGTACACTGGACCACCATAAAATGGGACAGATACAATGCTCTCTCTGTGAACTTACTCATTGTCAGATATTTACTGTGGATCGAGAGAGTGCCAAATAGTGTTCTGATGGATGGGAATAAACATGTGAAGAAGAGAGAAAGCCCCTGTCCAGGCAGGTTGGCACTGCAGGACTCCTGAGGGCCCCAGTCACCTTGTGATCCATGTAGTCTATGCCCCTGGGAACCATATATTCCAAGAAGAAAATACATGGTAAGTAAAATATATTACAAATGCCTTAGAGAAAAAGACAGAGCAAGATAAAAGGAGTGAGGGTATTGAGACTGCTGTTCTTAAAAAAAGAATGTGTCTGGCTCCATGCTACAGTGCCAATGTGCTGACTGAGAGAAGTGGATTCCACATGGTGACTCTAGTTTGAATCCCTGGCTCACCCAGCCTGAAACACACCAGGCACACATGTGAGTACCCGGATCTGGAAGGGCTGAGGACTGGAGTCAGAGGATCGTGGCATGATTGGACTCTGTGGAGGGTGTTCCTCTCTGCCTCTCACATGCATGCACACACAGCCTACCATAAATAAAAGAAAACAAAGATATAAGAATGGACAGGGAAGACATCTCTAGAATGACATTTGAGCAGAGGTTCACATGGCACGATGGAGTAAGCTAAATAAATCCCTGGGGAGGAACATATCTGGCAGAAAAGGCAGTAAGTACAGAGGTTCTAAAGTGAGAGAATATTTAGCATGTTCAGGTATGCAAGAGAAGAGTAGCTCCTGACAATCAGAAGAAGAATAAAAGGACAACCATAATAAGCAAAAGTGTTTTACACTGAGTAAATTTAGCTTCATTTAAAAACACTATTTTTCACATTTACCATGGATTAGAAATAAATTCGATATGGACCAGCAGAGGGTGAAATGGTTATATCCCTGGACTCCGTCATAGTTGGTCACAGAATGAGTTCCAGATCTGGCAGCTTAAAACTCAGGCTAGGGATATGTGTGTGTGTGTGTGTGTGTGTGTGTGTGTGTGTGTATGTGTGTGTGTGTATGTGCATGCCCAAGATCCTGAGAGAATGGAGGAGAAGGGACTGCGGTGTGGCCATCCCCTCTGGGGGAATGATTTCTTGCTTTCAGTCTCTCAGGTGAGCGCACATGCCCTAAGCAAAAATCTCTAATAAAATTATTAAAAAAGAAAAAAATTGGTAAAAACTGGTATCAATCCATTAGCCAGCATTAAGAAGCCACCTCTGGAGAGTTTATCTCAGTTAAATCTGTGGGAAGTCTATATTTTTTTAAGAGAGATTTTTGCTATACAGTGCATGTACTCACCAGAGGGACAGAGAGAAAATGAAAAATCCCCCCCACGGGGAATGGCCATGCCACAATCCCTTCTCCTCCATTCTCTTCTCAGGATTTCGGGCACATACACAAACACTGCTGGTGTGTTTCAAGCTGCTGGGTCTGGGACTCATACCATAAAAGCTATGTGGGAATCCAGCGATGTAACCATTACATCATCTGCTGGTCCTGAGAAATCTGTATTTTAACAAGCTCTTTGGAAGATTCTGATGCACAACCATATTTGAGAAGCACTAATATAATATAGAGATGTAAATTAACAACTAAAAACAATTCATTTTAGTATTGAATCATGTGGCATAGTTATACATGATTTAATTTATGTTTTATATCTTCCAACTAAATTTAAGCTTCTTAGAAGAAGTGAATCTAATACTGGAAAATCTACTCACTTGTGGTGACTTGCAACAGTGCCTAGAATACTGACCTGAAATTTAAGCCATAAGAAAAGACAGTTGCAGGGCTGATCTCATAGCCTAGTGGTTAAAGAAGCCAGATCCAAATGATCCATCCCAGTTTGAACCCCAGCCCTCGTGGCTTGAAAGCACACCAAGCACATGTGCATGCCCAAGTACTGACAGGATAAGGAAATGGAGGAAGAGGGACTGTGGCATGACCACATCCCATTAGGATTTGCTCCCCTTTCTCCCTGTCTCTCTGTGTCTCTCTCTGGTGAGCACATACACCCTTTGGCTTATAAACAAAAAAAAACCAAAAACAAAAAAGCATAGCTGTAAAAACATGCAGATTATTTTTTCCACAGACTTTCACATAAAATACATATTCTCATTTGTAGAAAACACTCACTTTGTCAAACGAGCCTCCTTCACAGTTTTCTGCCAGATCTGTATCTTCTGTTCTCTTTGACCCAGTGCTTTCTGGTATGCAGATGGCAGACCTCCAGGAATCTCTGTTGTGTCCCCTTCCATTTCAAAGGGAATTATAAATACATAGAACTCACAAGGTGGTAAGAGCCGGAAGACACTTGTGTCACTGCTTTCTCTGCAAACCACCATTGGGTTATCCCAAGAGTTAGGCACAGTGGCAAGGCCCGTCCTGGCCATGTGGTCCTCTAACATTGGGTAATGGGTATGGAAAGGGGCCATCGTTACTCTCTGGTTCCCAGAGAGAATAAGTGGGCGTGTGGGTGTCAGAACGTGAAAGATGCAATCCGTTGTTGAAGAGATGGACAAACGATGGCAAACAGCAATGACTTTAACATTGTCACAGCTGTGGAGGTGAAGAGCAGTCTCTACAGGGCCCAAGACAAAGGTGCTATTCCTGCACTTCTCGATTGTCACAGATCTGCAAATGAAAAATGAGGTATCTGAGAATAGATAGAACAAATACTAGACTAAAACACTGATTTCTGATGACAAGGAAATCAGGATTAACAAGAAATGATCAACCCTTGGGAACCAGCAGTTAGCGTAACGGCTATGTCGCTGGATTCCCACGTAGTCGACCGCAGTTTGCATCCCAGACCCGGTGGCTTAGAACTCACACTGGGTGCGTGTGTGTGCGTGCGTGCCCAAGATTGGAGGAGTCCAACCCAGTGGGGCTCCAGGACCCGTCTGAGCCCCTTGACCTTTGAGCATCACTTCCGGTCAGTTCAGTGAGCTGGCAAGGCCACGACTGTACGCCCCCCGGACCTAGGAACAAGCTTGGGTCACTTAGCATGTTGGCAAGGCCGCCTGCTATTCGCTCCGGGACTGTGATAGCCTTGCTGGGAAGTGACCTCCCTCTGACTCCCCGATATATTACTATAAAAGAATTACATAGTTTTCCCATACATATTTGTAGCAAGATTTCCCCAAAATTCCCCGACCACTCCCCTTTACCCTGGCCATTTACTGTTGATTACAATGCTTCATTGGGCACAATAAAGGGTGTGCTAAAGTTCTTCTTGATCTGTGGAAGGCCTTTCAAAACACATTTATATAAACTTAAAAATTACCTCTTAGGCAGAAACTGACCCAGGACACTCCTGCCTCACTGTAGCTAATGTTCTGACAAAGTACATAACAGTGGCACCACAAGCATAATAAGAATGCCTAGGTGTGCCACAAAGTTTTCCATTAATTCATTAGTCACTTCACCACCAGTTGAAAGGGCTGTATCCCCACCCTCATCAAGTGAACACTAACTTCACCCTTTCAGGATAGGCAATACATTAGGATTCCTTTAATCAATTTTACATCTCTACAAAATTATATAAATATCATTCTTTATTGAGATTTATAAAAACTAATATCTGTACT